GGCGGTTCTGTGGTGAGGGGATCCAGCTGGAGAGGTAATGGCCTGTGGTGACAGAAGAGCGGCAGATGGACCTCAACGTTTCACCATGCTGTCAGCCTCTAACTCCTCCTTTAGAATTTTCTATCAGATTTACACTCAGAGCCTGGTGGCCCCCAGTTAGCCCAGATTCAAAATATGAACATCTGTTTGCAGAATCTGATTCAGGAGAAGGTGAGTTTATTGTTTTTAGTTTGTACTCTCGGGAAGTGGGGGTAGAGAAGGGACTTGGGGTCAGCACTGGTTTAACAGAGAAAAGCAAATCCCAGCCTCCTCTCCCTCCCAGTTCTCCCCACATCCCTCGAATCAGGCTAGTTCCTGTGCCACCCAGGACTGGAAGGGAAGGCCAAGGAAGCAGACGGCATGGCAGCAGCAGGTAAACTGTAGGGAAGTGGGGGGCAGGGCGGAAGCCCCGGCCCCGCAGGCGGGGAGGAGCACAGATGCCCACACCGGTTCTCTCCTCCTCTCCAGTTGTCAAGGCAGCAGAAAGGAGGCACTCAGCCCAAAGGGGAGACTGCTCAGCTGGGCTGCCCCAATATGCGGAGGGGCCCCACCCATGTGTGAAGCCTCCTCTCGATTTCCTCAGTTGGTGACAGGGGAGGCTGAGTCAGAACCCCCAGTCTCCTTATCCTGCTTAACAGATAAATGGCTCCAGGTGGTGGGCCAACTGAATTCCTAACATCTTGGTGTAAAGTTTCTTCTCCACAACTGAAAACTTCATTTCATCTGCTTGGTGTCTTATGCCCTCACTCGCCCTTAAGTGATCTGCATAAATGATCTTTCTTTGAAATCCCTCTCTAGAGAAGACATGTTTATTGAAACTGTCCTTCAGCTTTAAATACAAAAATAAAATAGGAGCTTCCTCAGAATTTCAAGTAAGAACAATTCTATAAACCCCCCACTCTCAACTTTAGTCTCCTCCCCATATATCTTTCCTTCTACCTGAGCTTAGGAAAGCATGAATAAATAGTGGAGTAAAGAGATTTTGCTACAGAGAAATAGAGGCCAATTTTCTCCAAAAAGGAGTATTTGCTTTGGTTCCCAGCAGGGTTGGGGAAAGTGCATTGTGGGAAAGTCCATTGCCCTCTATTCCAATCTCACAAAGAAAGAGAGGGACAAGTGTGTGAGAAGGAAAACCTCCATCCCAGTTGGGAGAGGTCGGGTTCCAAGGCCCGGTTGCCTTCTCACCAGTGGGGCCAGACTAAAAATAGCGCTGCAGGCACATCCCTCTAGGGGTTCTGGTGTCACCAGGAGGCCAGGCCTAGCAGAAGCAGCACCCCTCCAACTGTGCCCCAACAGGGTTTGCCCACCAGCCCTCCCCCAGCCCTTCCCTGAGTCACCGAAGTGGAGGCAGGGCTGGTGGAGGTGAGGATAGGGCCAGATGAGTGGGCAGGGGCAGCCAGCGGGTCCTAGGGAGAAGAGGGAGAGCCGGTCAGCGTGTCTGCACCCAAATTAAGCCTGCACCTACCACCCCTTACACTGCTTATCCTGCGATGGAAAGTGGGGGTGCCTCACCTGCGGGGTGGGGGCCAGCACCAGGAGCCGGAGGAAGGCATGGGTCGGGGGCACTGGGCTGGCTTCTGGACCTGTCGCAGTCACAGTCACCATCACCACGGAGTCTGGAGCCGCTGAGTCCGGGATCTCCAACCACAGGCGCCCCCAGGCGGTCTCATTTGGTTCCAGGCGAACCCTGTCGAGTACGGACGCCGGGCTGAAGGCCCAAGCTCTCGAATAGTTGAGAGCCCAGGGTCCGCGCCCAAAGCTGGAGGGGAGGGGAGGGAGGGGAGGCGAGAATCTGAGGGCCAAGCGAAAGTGGCTGCTGTGGGCGGGGCTTAAAGTACCAGCTCCCACGCCAGGGGAACCGAAAGGTGGGCCGGAACTGAACCGGAGAGTTCAGGGGCAATACCTGGAGAGGTTGGAGGTGAGAGCGAAGCTGGGCTTGACAGATGTCCTAAGATCGAGATCCTGAGGGCCCGAGAAGCTGGCGATGCGGAGGCTGAGCTGGGCCTTGCTGCCTGGAGCCAGGAATCCCGGGGAGCCGCTGAGCTACGGAGGAGGGCGGGTCAGGCGGCGAGGAGGCTGCAGCTCTCTCCAGCCCTACCTGCACCTTCTTCCTGCGTCTCACCTCCAGAAGGACAGGGACCACGGTGCAGGGCTGGGGAGCAGCTCGGTGCAGGCTCTGCCCCTCTCCGTCCCGGCCAATCAACTCCAGAGAGAAAGGTCCCGCAGTGGACAGAAGTGCGGACGGTAGCGAGGCCGCGAGGAAACCTCGCTCCAGCGGTCCCGTGGGCTCCAAAGGCACCCGGCCCAGCTCGGCACCTTCCGGGACCCCTCGTAGGACGACGTGAGAGAAATGCGGCAGAGGAGCTCCAGGGTTGCCTCTGGAGCCCAGCCCTGTCACCTCTACCAGCAGCTGGGTCTGGAGGCCTGGGACAGGGGAGGGGAGGGGAGAACACTGGTCCACATGAGATTCAAAGACAGGGAGAAAGGAATGATCGGCTTTTAGAATAGGGGTTACCTCTGGGGATGAGTATGAATGGAGAAAAGGGGTTACCTCTGAGGGCTATTGTTGGGCAGGGTCAGGAAAGATTCTGGGATGCTGAAAATGTTCTAAATCTTGAGTCGAGTGATGGTTACATGAGTGCATTATATGAAATCCACCCAGCTGTATACTTAAGTTTAGTGTACTTCATTATATGCAAGTTATAACTCAATAAAAGGATATATATATATATATATACACACACACACACATAATATACATACACAATATACAATACATATATATATATATATAGACATATACATATACAATATATACATGTATATATATTAATGGACAAGTTGGGGGGTTGGGTAGACGTACCTGCAACTGGCTGAGTCAGGGGGTAGAGGCCAGGGTGGGGGCCATCCTCCACAGGGATCCCAAAGTAGAAGAGGAAGTCCAGGGATGTCTGGGCTGAGGAGGGCCAAGGCAATCAGAGACCTTCCTGAGATGAATGTGATTGATACCTCTCTCTGAGCTCTGCAGCCTTCCCGTCCCTTCCCTTCCCAGCAATATCTCCCTCCTTACCTTGCACTCTCACCCGGGGTGTGCTCTCGGCTGTGACCAGGATCTCCCAGGTCCCTGTCTGTGGGGGGTCACTGATGGTAACTATCCAGAACTGCCCAAAGCGGCGAGTGTGACCTAGAGGTCCCTCGCCTTCCTCCTGGCCCTGGGAGACCCCTGGTGGGGGTGGGGGAGCAAGAGATTGGCACATGAGCTAGCTCCTGTCCCTTAGGATGTCACCCTTCATTCTCCATTCTTCCCTCTGCCTTGAGACACACACGTGGAAATACCTGCAGGGTTCCTGATCCAGAAGCTGCTGACCTCCCCATGGATCCGGACTGTGACCCTCTGGAGCAGTGCATCCACGCTGAACACAAGTGGCCTTCCAGACACTACAACAGGAGGTTCCAGGGGAAGGGTAACCTGGAGGGATGGGCAGAGCCAAAAAATAGGGGAGAAGATGAGGCACTGAATGAAGTGGGAACAAAGACAGGAGAAAGGTGGAGACAGAAAGAAACTAAGTCACACATGGAGAAGGGATACCAGTGAAAGAGGGGCCCAGGACCAGGGATGAAGTTACGGTCAACAACAAATTGGAGGCAAGGGATTAAGGGTGAGGTGATTGGCTTCTTGTCCCTCCTTAAAAGATGGCAGGACTTCCGAGGACAGACTACTGGAGGCCAAGACTGGGGGACAGGGAGCGGTGCTAATAGGGAAGGAGCAACGTGGAAGTTGGGTAGCCATGGATCTCAGAGAGAGAGAGAAACTTCCTTTCCCACCCTTCTGACTGCAGTGGCAACACAGCAAGCAGTGTTAAACTATTAACCTATGAGAAAGAGCAGTGCCGTGTTACCTGTACCCTCAGTTCTGAGCCAAAAGCATTAGTCCCTCCGGCCTTCATACTTACCAGGTCAGCCATGCTGTCCCCAACAACAGCTGCCACATCCTGAATGTGCTGGTCTTTGGTGAAGATTACCTCTCCTCCTGAGGCCAAGGCCACTGCTTCATAGGGCTCAAAACGCAGAGGGGACAAGACCTCACGCCGAGCTCGGCCCTGAACCCTCGATGGGTCCTCGGTCACTAGGAATGTTACCTGTGCCCAGAAAAAGAGGCCAGTACTGAGTACTCCAAGTGCTGTCTACCATGGTCAATGAGGATCTGTGCTCAAGTGTTCTGCGGAGCTGATGAGGAGGAGTAAGGTCTTGGTCTACCCTCTGACTGTTCCTGCAGGGTCTCCCAATGACACAGCCCCAGGCCTTCAGTTAGTAGTTGCCACTCCCTTGTAACTGTCTCCATTTGTCATCCACAGCGGATTGCTGGCAACTAGATCTCCAGTTCTTCAAATGGTTTATTGGAGACCAGTTCAAATATGCATTCAGCATCACGTAAGGGATCAGGATGTGTTATACTCATTGTCTGCTTCTCCCACCCCATGCCAAGGCTGGTTCAACCACCAGAGTGTGGTGTGATCCTTGTTACGAGATAGTCGTCAACAAGGTATGGGAAACCCCATATCTCTGGGTGGCTAACATCGGATGTCCCATCAGCTGTGCTCACTCTGCAGCGCCGCTCCTGAGTCAGGGACTCCACCCGGTTGGTGAGAAAGGCATCCTTGGGGGAGGCGTCGGTGAAGACAAAGATGTCTGAGAGTGGAGGTGTGTGCAGCAGAGCCAGCTGGCAGAGAGGGAAAGTGCTCGTGTTAAAAATGGCAGCAGCAGAGGAATGGGTAGAGGAAGGGAGGGCAGAATAGAAAGAAATATGGCCCTGGAACCCTGGAGTGAAGCTAGTGGAACTAGGCTCTGAAGGTGGGGTGGAGGGTGGAGGTCCCAGGAAGCCTCTAGTTCCCCTTGGTGGTGGGAACTGGAAAGGAAGGGGGAAGAAGGGAAGGGGGAGGGGGAGGGCAGACCTCCAGGGCTGACAGACACATCTCGGGCTCATCTCCACCCCCCAAGGCATGGATCTCATTGAGTTGTTGCCAGAAGCTGTCAGGGTCACTGGTGGTAAAGACAGGGCCAAACCCTGGGGAGGAAGAAAGAAGGTTGAGATGAGTGACGAGAGGGCTCCCCTCATCCCTACCCAGGGCCACCTCTCACCCCCCAGTCAAGAGGCCTCGCTGTGCTCCTGGGGTGAACAAGTATTGAAATAATAATATTCTCTGATATTTCTATAGGCAGGGCTGGGTAAGGGCTAGTTACCTTTGCAGGGAAGTGGACCTCATTTCCTTAACAAAATGGCAGCATTTCCTGTGGTCCTGAGAGGGTCTTTATTGAATATGTGCATAAGTATTAAAAAAACACCTGGGGCCTCAGATTCCTCACCGGAAAAACCGGAGAGATAATGGTACCTACCTCAGAGTGTCATTAGAAGGACTAAATGAGTTGATTTTGTAAACCTTAGAATAGTGACTTGACATATAATTAATGCTAAACTCAAAGCTTCATCAAATATGTGATAAACCAGGGCACCTGGGTGGCTCAGTCAGTTAAGCGTCCGACTTTGGCTCAGGTCATGATCTCGTGGTCTGTGAGTTCGAGCCCCGCGTCAGGCTCTGTGCTAACGGCTCGGAACCCGGAGCCTGCTTCAGATTCTGTGTCTCCCTCTCTCTGACCCTCCCCTGTTCATGCTCTGTCTCTCTCTGACTCAAAAATAAATAAACATTAAAAAAAAATTAAAAATAATATGTGATTGGGGCGCCTGGGTGGCGCAGTCGGTTAAGCGTCTGACTTCAGCCAGGTCACGATCTCGCGGTCCATGAGTTCGAGCCCCGCGTCAGGCTCTGGGCTGATGGCTCAGAGCCTGGAGCCTGCTTCCGATTCTGTGACTCCCTCTCTCTCTGCCCCTCCCCCCTTCATGCTCTGTCTCTCTCTGTCCCAAAAATAAATAAACGTTGAAAAAAAAAAATTTAAAAATAATATGTGATAAACCCCCGTTAAATTCCAGCTACTATGAGATTTATGCAGGTAAATCAGACTCAACGCTTGCCTTTAGGGAATTCTCAGCGCTGTAGCTATTTTATTTGATGGCCATTTCAACCCTAGAAAATCCTGCCTATCTTCTAGGGTTGAAATGGCCATCAGATAATATGGGTCAAGTACTGACTCATTTTATCGATGATGAAACTGAGGCAAAAAAAGTCTAAATGATCAGCCTAAGCATGCCCAGTGACTGGTCAACCCGGGTCAGTCGGTCTAACTTCCAATATGTCTCAGAGGCTTCACAGAGGCCTCGACCCATCCTCATCCCAACCTCTGTGTAAAGAAAATGGGGAGAATTGAAAATCACTGATTAACATGGAAGCCTAAGAAAGCAGAGGCCCCTGGCTAAGCACAGATCATGATTAACCTCATATGGAAAGTGCTGCCATTTTGGAAACAGAGGAAGAAGTGGCCGATCGTACACACAGAGGTACCAGTAAAGGCTCAACCATAGGAAACGTCACCATTTTAAGGAAGTGGAGCCATGAGGCCCTTTCCCCCACCAGTGGCATTTACCCCTTGCCCTAGACTTTCCTTCCTTCTGCTATCCTCACCAGACCACAGTTACCTGGATCATGGAAAGGGACCAGGATGTAGTGGACAGGCTCCATGGGGCTGCCCCGTCGCTGTTCCACAATGTGGCGAGCCTGGATTTTGGCAGCATTGATCTCCTCACCCATACTGCCTGTGGTGTCTAGGACGAAGCTCAGACTGGAGGCTGGGCTGATGTCCAGGAGCCTGGGGAGCAGGCCAGAGATACGGTGAGGAGTCTGCACATTTGTCCCCAGCCCCCATTTACTCAGCTCCCCTAGGACCACATGCGCATTAAGGAGCACATCGCCCAGAGGCCACTCACCTGGAGAAACCCCTGTCTCCCAGCCGGTTTCGCAGGAGACTGAGGGCCTGGATGGAGGCCAGAAGGGCCAGTTTTGCTGCCTGGAGGTGCAGCATGTGATGGGGAGAGAAGCCTGGGGATGTGCTATCCTTGTTGATGCCTCCCCGTGGTGGCTGGGAGCTGCTCTGGTCAAAACGGCCCCCATGGCTACATTTCCCTGGTTTGGGGAAAGAGATCTGGAGGGTGGAGGTAAAAAACCCACTGCCTCCTAAGAAAATGAGGCCCTTTTTGACCTGGCCTGACCTCTCACTCTTCAGCAAAGGATCAGCAAGAAAGATGACATTTGTGGAGGGCCAATCTGGAGTAAATCTAGAGGGGTCAGTCATCACAGTACATGGTGGATCCCCTAATCCCTCCAGTCCATCCCCCAAAGCTACCCTTGGGTAATGGAGAAGTCTTACTGGTTGAATAAGAAGCTATTCCCCCACCCAACAATCATGGCCACCTCAGTGGGCCTCCATCCATCTACCCCATCCCCAGCATCCACTCCTTCCAGAAGTGATGCCATAGGAAATGGGACAAGGGCCTACAGTTCTGAGATCCCTAGGGAGAGGGTCAGGGGAAAGGAAGTGACTTTCTCCCCTTACTTCTGCCTGGTACCTGGAGGTTTGGAGGGATGAGTTCCAAAGTAGCCAGAGGTGAGGAGTGTAAAGCCCAGCAAATTCCCAGGGCAGCTCAACTCCTCGCAATCAGAGCAGGTAGGATCGTCCACTGGGAAGAGAGGACAGGGGTCTAGATCCCAAGATCCTGCCACCACTGACCTTTATCCCCATCCATCCAAACTTTGGCTTTTCCCTGAGCTGGCAAAAGCCCAAATGTACCCTTCTAGGATTTCTGAACAAAAACCTAGAGGTCATCTAGTGATGAGACTGAATATGTGAGACCGGGACTGTGCTAGGAAACCTGGAAGCGTGAGCTGTGGACAGGAAGTGAACTTGTAATGGACAGGAGGCCGCGTCATAGCTCAGGTGGAAGGATGAGGGGACTGTGAGGAACAGCCCTGTATGTTCCATCCCATGTTGGGGGAGGAAGCCACACGAGAGAGAACTCAGCTGAGGTCTGCAGACCTTGGTCCTGGCTCTGTCCACCCCTGTGACCTTGGGGAAGCTATCTAACTGACCTGGCCTTTGGCTGGACTGGGGGACCTCACAGGTCGTTCCAGAGAAGAAGCCATGTCACATCCTATGTGACCTGAGGATGTGACACAGTGTCTGGGGAGGCTGAAAGGACATGGCTTTAGTGGGCTTCCCCCATCCCCCGGGGTCATGGCCGTACCTTGTGCCAGGCTCCGGAGCTCCTGCCTAGGCCAGAGGAGGTGAGGGTGTGGCTGCTGCTGTCCCAGTTCCACCCAGTTGCTGTGACTGTAGAAATCCTGGGGGGAGGGAGGGCGAAGGGGAATGAGGCGCTGTCTGACCATTCTCACAATCTCCAGCGCTTATTCTTCCTCTTGGAAAGCCTCCTCCTACCCTCGCTGCTGCTGTCAGATACCCCAAGTGCCCTCCACACCCTCTGCCTGTCGCCCAGAACAGAGCTCTCCCCAGGTGGGAGCCTCCCGGTTTTTCCTCCCATCCCACTCAGAGTCCAACCAAAGGCCTTCAGGTGGCCTTCAAGGCCCACTCCCAACCTCATGCCTCCTCGCTTTTCTCCAGCCACAATGGCCTCCTGGCTCTTCCCACAGGGAGAGCTGCCAGTTTGGAGGTGGGGGAACTAGGGACCAGTCTCAGGGCACTGGCAAGCAGTGCCCCATCACTTCTTGAGTTGGGGGAGGTGTGATTAAGAAGGCACCATGAGGGGGCGCCTGGGTGGCTCAGTCAGTTAAGCGTCAGACTCTTGATATCTGTTCAGGTCCTGATCTTGTGGTTGGTAAGATCAAGCGCTGATGGTGCAAAGCCCATTTGGGATTCTCTCTCTCCCTCTCTCTCTGCCCCTCCCCTGCTTTCTGTCTCTCTCAAAATAAATAAATAAACATTAAAAGAAGAAGAAGAAGAAGAAGAAGAAGAAGAAGAAGAAGAAGGAGAAGGAGGAGGTGCCAGGAGGAAGTCTGTATCTTGGGGACGGGAAGACCCGGGGTGAAGAAACCCCTGCCCATTTTATGCAGTTCTCACCTGCAAAGCATGAAGTGCAGCCCCAAGGCGCTGGCGGGCCAGGGTGTGGTCAAGAGCTCTGGCTGCCACCAGGGCCTCCCGGAGAGCCCCCACTAGGCGTGTGCGCCCCTGGCCCAGCCGCTCAGCATCAAAGTGCAGGTCAGGGTCATTCCTGGATGTTGGCAGAAAGTCCTGGGCTGCGTTGGCACGGGAGACCTCACCTAAGGCTGCTCGGAACCTCCGGGAAGGAGACCCAGGTCCAAAGTAGGCAGCAAAGAGGTCGTCAGCAAGAAGGGTGTGGCCCTGGAGAGAGTGGGTTAGGGGACAGGGGACCCTTGGGTTGCACCATTGCCCACGTTTTCTTAGCAACTGGCACTCAGGTGGCACTCAGGTTTTCTTAGCAACTTCAACTCAGGTTGAAGGTCCTGGGCCTTACGAAGGAAGGGCAATTCTGGACCTTTCTAAGGGGGGGGGGGGAACTCCTGATTTTAGGACCAGGACACTTGGGTATTGTTACTGCAAGGGGTAGAGGTGGGGAGCCAAGGAAGAGAAGGATGTCCCTCCTCTTGGCCAGCAGGGCCCTGAAGAAGTAGAAGTCCCAGGGAATTGGGGAGTCCAGCTGGGATGTGACAGGGCCTGGGGACGCTCACCAGGAAATCCTCAAGACGAAGCGGGGGACGGCCCGGGGGTGGCTGCTCCAGGAAGAGCTGCAGGGTGACATTGAGCGCCGCCTCCTCGGTCAGGTCCTGGTGGGTGACGGACCCGGGGGCAGCCAGGAGGCTCCAGATGTTGGGGAAGAAGGAGGTTGCAGGGGGCAGCAGCTGCAGTAGCAGCAGCAGCAGCAGTGAAGGATTCAGGTGGGCCAGGGGCACGTCTGCAGGGAGCATGGCTGGGACATGGACCTGAGGGACAGAAGGCTCTCGAGAGCAGGAAGCAGCAGCGGGTCCAGGGCAGGCCCAGCTCTTTAGCTCTTTGTCTCCACCGGCACCTGCTTTGGGCCCTTCCTCTGCTTTGCCTGAAGCACCTGGATCTGCCCCAGCCTGGCCTCCCCTCTCAGTTGCCTAGACAACCTGAGGGCCTTAATGGGCTAATGGGAACATACACCTGCAGGAAGGAACTGAGGCTCCTTCCCCAAGACCCCCTTCCCCACCCCCAGACCGACACCCACACCCCCAAACACCCAGCACAGAAAACCTGATGAGTCTCCTCTCTAGGCCTCTCCCCTACCTGGTTGCTGGGTCTCCCGCAGGGCCGCTGGGGCGTGGTGTCACAGGGCACTTAGGTCAGAGTTATAATTAACTCAGGACGAGTGGAGGGGGAGGGAGGCCCCGGCAGGATGGGGGCAGGCCAGACAGCCCCTGGCCCCTCTACTCGTGCCCGCCCGAGGCCACAAGCGGCAGCCGGCACCAGGGCGGGGCTCCCTCAGCAGCAGTGCAGAGGTGAGTGGAGAAGAGCTGGGAGGAGGAATGAGTGAGCAACATGACTCAGGCCTGGCTCAGCGCCAGGGACAGACCCAGGCAGACGCACCTCTCTGCCCACCCGGCGCCTCTTGCTCAGCCTGCCGCCCTTCCACTACCTTCCCAGACACGGGCCCTCAGTGCCCCTCCCCGGCCCCACCACACACAGACAAGAGATGATTTTGTGGCAAAATATTTTATTGCTGCCACCCCCATGGCGGACTGCTGGGGGTTATGAGGGTCAGAGTCGGGTGCATCACAGCATCTTCTGAAATAGCGCGATGGCCTCGTCCACCTTCCTGAGCTCTGCTTCTGTCTGCTGGAGCTGGGGGTGGAACAAGGGAGAGGGGGTGGTGGGTGGTGAGGATTCAGGCCCAAGAGAGACCTCCAAATGCTCGCGATGGCAGAGGGGTCCCAGTTGGAAAGATGGGTGGGGACCGCAGCAGGGAGTAGTTTGGGGACTGTGTGAGCTCGGCTGGCCTGTTCCCTCCAAATTCTCACCAACCTCCCCATCAGCACCCACCTTCCCCTCCATCATCACTGGCCTCTCAGGTCTTGCCTTTTGCCAGAGTGGTCAGTCCCCCAAAACGAAGGAGCCCATGTGCCCTAGCCGGCAGCCCGACCCCCAGCTGGACGGCAGCACACAGGGGTTAGGGACGCAGCCTCCCAGGCAGGCACTGGGCCTTCATTTGTAAAATGGCAATGGGACACCCCCTGCCCTGAGCAGGTTTCCGGGAGATTGGACTGAGCCCTGCTCAGCGACCAAGGCTCCCTAACGCAGCCTCCGCTCATTTCTCTCTGCGTCCATGTGGTTCACCCCACTGCTCCTCCCTGGAGAGATCCCAGGTGAGCCCGCCAGGCTTCCTGGCTGTAAGTGGTCCTGAGACCAGCACCAGGCACTCAGGATGTTCTGGGCACTGGGTGGGGCACGAGGGCTCTGGCTGGGAGGCAGGATACCTGGTTCTAGGTCTGTCTTCACCTTGCTTGTGTGACCTTGGGCTGTGCCCCTGCTGCTGACCGTTTCTCATGTAAGAGGAGGGATTACGTGGGCCCCGCCTATGCAAGGGGCCCGGGCGGCCTGCTCCCCCATGGCTGCCCAGGGCTGGGCCTGATGATGGAGGGAGCAGATGGTGTGGGCAGTGGAGAAGGAATGCCCACCCACACCACACACCTTGACTTTGTCTGCCTCCTGGACGTCAAGGGGCACCTTCGTAGGGTAGTTCGAGGCAGCGCGGCGCTCCCGCAGACGCTGTGCCTGCCGCTGTGCCTCACCACGCTTGGCCTGCAGCTTGCCCAGCTCCCGGGCCGGGTCCACCAGTCCCTGCAGCTGCAGGTGGACGGAGCAGCGGTCAGAGGCCAGGGCCACAGCACAGCCCTGTGGCGCGGGAGCCCCCAGGGCCAGGACAGCCACCACGCCCGCGCTGGCCAGCGCCTGCACGTAGCCTGACACAGCCGACGCCAGAGCACCCGTGGCCTCATCAGTCACTTCTAGGAAACCTGCGGGGAGGGAGGAAGGTGAGATGTGGCCCCCAGGAGACGCGAGAGGAGGCAACCACGTCGGACAAGGGTCCCAGAGTGGACTGAGGGGCCAGTGGGACGAGGTGGCTCACAGTCAGGCCGGATCCGGGTGAGGTTGTAGTCGGCACGCAGGGAGCGCACAGCTCGTGTGATGCTTAGGGCCAGTTCCATGGCAGCTTCTGCCTCAGGGTCCTTCCAGGAGCACTGTGGGATGGGAGAGGGGGTGAGGGAGGCAGGGGGGCAGGCCAGAGCCCCCCTCTAGGCTACACCCCATACCTCCGAGGGCTCCGGATAGGAGGTAATACAGAGGCTAGGCGGAGCTTGTAGTGTCCGCCGGGGCAGCCTCTGGAACAGCTCCTCGGTCACGAAGGGCATGAAGGGTGACAGCAGCCGCAGGCCAACGTCCAGGCAGGTATAGAGGGTCTGGCGAGCACACTCGGCCACCACCTGGTCCACCCCATTCAGCACGGGCTTCAGGCACTCCTAGGGGACCAGGAAGCACAGAGCACGAGGCTCAGGGACGGAAAAGGCCCAGCCTGCAGCCCTCACTGTGCCTGTGAGGACCAGGAAGGGGACAGGTTGGCTCAGGTCTCGTGGCCAACCACTGGCAACGTGAGGTCCAGGGCTCTGCCGCCCCCCACCCGTCTCTCAGCTCCTCCTCACCAGGTAGACATCACAGAGCTCATAGAGCCAGAAGCTGTACTGGGCAGTGGTGACAGCTGGGAAATCATAGGCCTGGAAACCTTGGTTGCTGAGCCTCACGGCCTCAGTCAGCCGGCTGCGGATCCAGCGGTCCACCAGGCTCTCATGGCCTCCAGGCTTGGGAAGAAGAGGCACATCAGAGAGGAAGTACCATAAGCCCAGGGGGAAGGAGGCAGAAGCCCATGGGCGGCAGGAACCATGGGCAGATCGGCATTCCAGCAGCCTGATACGTCTGAAGCAACCACCATGTGCCCAGCATCTGGAGGAAAAAGGACCCCCACCCCCTTCTCGGAGGACCCCGATGCTCAGGCTTTCCCTGTATCTATCTGTCCCGCCTGTTGCAGGAAGGCTCCTCCGGGGCAGGTGCTGGGCCTCCTGACTCAGTGGCTACAATCGCGACACAGCACGGACCATGCTCGATGCCTGAGCGGCAGACAAGCTGCCTGTGTGGGTGCTGCCCACCCTGCCGCCTACCAGGCCCTCACCTCAGAGGTGGGTGACGGCACAAAACCCTTCCCAAGGCCACGCAGGGCAAACTTTGTGGCGTTCCAGAGCTTGTTGCAGAAGTGGCGGTATCCCAATATCCGGTTCACATCCAGGTTGATGTCACGACCTGGGCGGGTGTGAAGTGTGACTCCTCACTATTCTCCCTCCCAACTCGTGCCCATGGCGAAGGAGAAGGGTGGGCTCAGGGAAGGAGGAGGGACTCAGTGAAGAGGTTTTGGAGGCCATACCCTGGGACGTGTAGGCACACAGTCCAAACCGGAGGGCATCGGTGCCGCACTCGGGAATCCCCGCCGGGAAGTCTGCCTTCTGTGGGGAGGAGTCAGTCGGGGGCGTCCTGAGGCAGCTCTCACCTACCTCAGCCCACACTGTAGCCCCAGAGCCCGTCCTCGGTACCTGCCCTTCTTTAGCCTTCTCCACCTCACTGGGATCCAGGTTGCTGTTCAGTAACTGGTCGTGGAGGCCCTGAGGGTGAGGTGGGAGCAGTCAGGGGGCCGTGGCCACAGCCCCACAGCCCTTCCCGGCCTGGCCCAGGGCGCAGCCCCACCTGTAGGGAGACTCCGTGGATGACGTCCAGGGGGTCGATGACGTTGCCTAGAGACTTGCTCATCTTTCGGCCATGGGCATCTCGCACGATGGCGTGGAGGTAGACCTGACAAGCAAGGGCAGGGAAGGCCCATGACAATGTGTCTCCTCACCCACACCACAATGCCTGCCGGGGCCCTGCATCCGGTCTGCCCCGTTCTGGACCTCAGGCCCCCACGGTACCCCTGCCAGTGCATTTGGCGCTTTCATGGGAATTAGAGGCGCTCCCTCATCTAGGAAGCCATGGCACGGAATCACTGAATGGAACCCGGGCTGGCTTTCAGTCCCCACAAGCCCTCCCTGGCTAGGCCCACCCACAGCTGTCCGTGGGCTGTGTTGTGTCCCCATGTGTGCTGAGCCTGAGCTGTGGCACAGGAGGGTGGGTGATGGTAGGGACTGTGGGAAGGGTGTCGGCAGTCTTATCACCTCTCTGAAGGGCAGCTTGCCAGTGAGCTTCAGGCCAAGCATGACCATCCTGGCCACCCAGAAGAACAGGATGTCATGGCCCGTCTCCAGCAGCGTCCCCGGGTAGAACACATTCAGATCTTCTGACTGGGGGCAGAGCAGGGCATGATGGGGAGCCAAGCACCCACCTCCAAGACCACCATTCCACCCTGGGCTGGTCCCCCAGGAACATACGTGGTTGGGCCAGCCCAGGATGGAGAAGGGGAAGAGGCCAGAGGAGAACCAGGTGTCCAACACATCCTCATCTGAGGGAGGCCAAAGGTCAGAGATCAGAGGGGACACAGATGAGGATCAGAACCCCAGCTCTGCCCTTCACCCCCAAGGCCCTGACTTGCCTTGCTGGAGACTGATCTCGTCAGGGGACACTCCAAATTCCTTGGCTGCCTTCTCCCGGGCCTCGGCCTCGCTGCGCCCGCTCACCCAGTACCGCCCATCAGGGTCCTGCCAGAGGTAGGGTGAGTGCCAAGGGGGTCCCTCTGCCTTGCCCTGACCCCTCCCCCCAGCAAGGACCCCACAGACCCACAATTTCCTGAGATGTGCCAGTGTCCAGCTCTGGCCCAGTTCTCACCTCCCCTGGGGGCACAGCTGGGTCACTAACTGTGATGAAGTAGGCTGGGATGCGATGGCCCCACCACAGCTGCCGGGAGATACACCAG